CCCTCCAGCACCATCGCTCCGCCCCACCGCGCAGCCCCGTACCGCACCGTGCCACGCTGCACCGCGCTCCACCGTGTCACGCCATGCTGCACCGTGTCACACCGTGCTGCACCGTGTCACTGCATGCTCTGCTGTGCCATGCCGTGCCGCACTGTGCCACGCCGCACCATGTCACACTACACCGTGCTGCACCGTGTCACACCATCCTGCACCGTATCATGCCACGCCGCACTGTGCCATGCCGTGCCGCAGCGTGCCACACCATGTCACACCACACTGCACCGTGTCACGCCATGCTGCACTGTGCCGTGCCGCACCGTACCACACCATGCCACACAATGTCATGCTACACTGCGCTGCACCGTGTCACGCCACGCGGCACCACGTCGCACCACGCCGTGCCACACCACGCTGTGCTGTGTCGTGCCATGTTTCATCGTGTTATGCTCTGTCGTGCTGTGTTGTGCCGTGTCACACTGTGTCGTGCCGTGTCACGCTGTGTCGTGCTGTGTCGCCGTATCACGCCGGGTCACACCATGTCGTGCTGTGTCACGCTATGCTGTACCGTGTTGGGCCGTGTTGTGCTGTGTCGCACCGTGTCACAGCGTGTTGCCCCAAGTCACGCCACGTTGCACTCTGTCACGCTGTGTCATGTTATGCCGTATCACACCATGTCACGCTGTGTTGCACTGTGTCACACCATATCACACCGTGTCACACCATGTCGTACCATGTCCCACCATGTCATGCCGTGCTGTGCCGTGTCCCACCAAGTTGTGCTGTGTCGTGCCGTGTCACACCATGTCATGCCATGTCCCACCATGTCCCACCATGTCACATCATGTCGTGCCGTGTCACACCATGACGCGCTGTGTCGTGCCGTGTCCCACTGTGTTGCGCCATGTCCCACCACATCGTGCCGTGTCGCACCGTGTCCCACCATGTTGTGCCGTGTCACACCATGTCGCACCGTGTCTCACCGTGTCGTGCCATGTCGCGCCATGTCACACCATGTAGTGCTGTGTCGTGCCATGTCCCACCATGTCATGCCATGTCCCACCATGTCCCACCATGTTACATCATGTCATGCCATGTCACACCATGTCGTGCCGTGTCCCACCACGTCGCGCCATGTCGCACCATGTCGCACTGTGTCTCACCATGTCCCACCGTGTCACACCATGTTGTGCCATGTCACACCGTGTCACAACGTGTCCCACCATGTCGCACTGTGTCTCGCCATGTCGCGCCGTGTCCCACCATGTCCCACCATGTCCCACCATGTCGCGCCATGTCGCGCCGCTCCGGCACAGCCCTGCTCCGCACTGCCCCCTAGCGGCT